CACCGATGCATAAAAACATCCCCTCAGCTTTGCCTTTGAGTGATTTACAGAGAGAAGATTTTATTGAACCGCAACGTGGAGTCATTATCCTGGGTAAGATATTATGCTCTAAATGGTATAATCTTAGACAGACTGATTTGCAACCAACTAACAAAACGGCAGCATCTACTGCAGCTTTCAACCCAGTCTCAGATTGTGACAGACCAAGCTTGATATTAGCGCTCAGCTTCCTGGCAGAGATGACTAGACAGTCTTTGTTTGTGTAAATACTGTACATCTTCCCCAATCTGTCTCCTTCAGGCCCTTTCTGCTGACTGAAAAATGCTACTGATCTAGAAATGCAGGAAACTCTTCAGCAATGTATTTCCTTCACCAGTACATAGCTGGTAGTTCTTTATTTCCGCTTGCATTTTAACTTACAGCATTATTGTATTAACCACCATGATTTCTGATGTGGTACAAGTTGGTGTATTCTCTCTGATTTCCTGAGCTCAGTGTAAGATATTCAGTGTGTACATCTACATTTATATCATTTAATAACGTACATGCGTCTGTATATGTTGATGTTGCATGAAGATCTAAGAAGTGCTTATATGAATAACTGACTTGAGGACAACAGAGCAGATTGTACAGTTGATGATTTATTAGTTTGTGATGGGTTAGTGATGAACTTTATTGCTTAAAGGTCTGTGTGAAAGAACCAAAAACTGCAGTGAATGTACAGCAGGCTGAATGTTTGCTGTGGGAAATATGTAGGAATAATCTTCAAGTTCAGTGTTCATTTAGAACCTGCTGTCCTGTACAAATATTCTGCAAACTTTAAGAGCAAGACACTAGAAAATGAAATGAAATACATTCAAAGACATCAACGGAAACATATATTGCATAGGGACAAATTCACTATTTACACAACGGCTCCAGGAGAGCAGCTGAAGAACTTAAGTGCAATGTTGCCACCCAGTGGTCGGATCTTCTCTTAACAGCGTCCAAGCAGGACCTCTTCTTTTTCTTTTCCCTTGGATCCCTCTCGAAAGGAAAATCCTAAAACAGGCTACATTCTATCATCACTTCTGCACACCAAGGCTCCAGTCAAATGTATAATGAACAGAGTTTTACTCACACTATTTTTAACTTTAAAGTGATCTTTTGTTGGTCTGTGGATGAAGTGCATTCGGGTTAGAAAGTCAACATATGGCTTAATTTAAATGTACAGTCTTTGTCAAGGATTTGCAAAAATATATATAGAAAACATGTTATATGGAAATAGATATATTTTTACACTTTTTAAGGCACTTAACCTTGTTAATTGAAAATATGCTGCATAAAAATACCCAATTTACATACCGCTTATATAAGCTTCACAGTTTATTGAAT